GTTCACAGAATCATAGTTGAAGACAGATAATCGCATGCGATTTCATACACCAAGACAAATAAAGTTATGCCATACAATTCTGAATGGATCGCACCATTTCAGAAATGAATAATTTGTTTTACACCAAATGACATGAAGATAAAGAATTCATGCCCTTTTCCAGATTTCATAATTTCCATGATAAGGTGCACAATTTTTGGATATATGCAATCAAATATGTCCTAAGAAATCAGATTTCAGAGATACCATTTAATTAATGCACTTTTCAAATTTATTCTGGACTGATTATGAATTTTAATGTACAGTAGGCGGCATATCAGACCAAAAGAAAGTGTCAGACAATTTTTCGATAGGTTCATACTATCTTAGATTTTGAGAAACTGCCTCAACGCAATTCTTCATTTAATTTTAAATCGTTGATGAGATTATACCAACCTTATTATCATAGAACCTTCATCCCCAAACATTATTATGTGAATTAAAAAGGTGCCAAAATTAAACTGCCAATCATCAAAGTTTGGGGACGTTTCGAATGCACGCACATGCAAGAAACGGAATACATTCTATTGGAATTTAATGTATGCACCGCTTCACATTTTTTCTTTCCAATCAAAATTCTTCAGGCAATTTATGACACAAAATACTCATTGTATTAAAAGGTGTCAAAAGTTTTAAATGTAGATAAATCCTTTTGGTTTAAAAATTGCCATCAACAAATTCGGCAAATGAAACTGCCAACATATGCTTTGTAATTTCGGCACATACAATTATATAATATATTCAATTGATATGAGTGCACAACCCAGATATAATTTGCATAATTTCCTGAATGTCAAGCATATGTAATGCACATAGAAGCCGTTTTTACACATTCAATTATTTAAGCATAATCAGATTTTCATGAATGAAAATTAAACTGTTGGCACCGATTCAATAATTCAATTCAAGTGTCTATGAAAATAATCTTCCCAGAATTCAATAGACACGTTCATAAATCGTCCACCGAAGAATCGAGTTTTGCATTATCTCAATTTGTTATTGCATACGTCTCATACATTATGGCAGAATATGCACAAGAATTAATAGTATGCAATATAAAATGCACCAAACTTCATCGAAGCATAATTCCGACTTACCGAATTTGGAGAAGCAAAATGATAATTTAACAAATCTGAATATGAGAATCTGGATCCATGTCATCTAGCCATCTTGTGAAGATTATCTCATCGAACCATCCACACAAAAAAAAAAAGAGTCTCGATCCATCAACTTGATCAACGCCAAAGTAATTTCTTAAAGTGGCTTATAGTTTCATCATGGTCTTCCATCGGCAATAGAGAAACCAACACACTGATTTTCTAGAATCATATTCCAACAAGAACTAAAATATAAACTGCACAACACCTGTTCACAGAATCATAGTTGAAGACAGATAATCGCATGCGATTTCATACACCAAGACAAATAAAGTTATGCCATACAATTTTGAATGGATCGCACCATTTCAGAAATGAATAATTAGTAAAGATGGTTGTTTGTGAGTGCATTTTAAATCACAAATTTATGAAATGGAAATGTAGCACAAAACCATAAAACCAAATAAGAAAATTAAAATAAGAAGGAGTAGAAAACGAAGATTAAATCCGAGGCAAGTGTATTCACTCTCTCCTTAAGACAATATTGCCCCGCTACGGTGCTCACGGTTGGCGGCAATTGTCTCCCAAGATACAACGGATTCGATTTGTGGTAGTAGCACTTCAAACCACAAATCCGGCGAACTTTCGACGGAGTTTCCCCTCTACAAGGAATATAATATATGAAAAGAGATGAAGAAGAAGAGAATTGCAATTTTGAGAAGAATGAATGCTCAATATGCAAATGGTGTACTCTCAAAGTCATCCAAGGGGTCCTTTATATAGAGAATGGAGTGGTGTGATGAAAGGATTTGAGCCAAACCATGCAACCTTCCAAACAGGTGCCACTATTCCAAAACCACAATTTCTCATTCATTTTTGAATTGGTTTATTAATAAACACCATTTCCAACACTAAAGGGGAGGCAACTGTCAAAGATAAAGTTGAATAATAGCATGTAATTATAAAAAGTACAAAACAAGATTGACAAATCTCCAAATTCAATAGAATCTCGGTTTTCCAGTAATGGAGAAAAATAAAAAGCAGAGTATAAACTAAAAAAAGCAGTCAAGCAAGGCTCGACTACATAACAAAAACCTATTCCGAAACTACTTTCACTGGATACCTATCGATGCAATCCTCCCAAGGACCATTTCGAGAAGGTTTTACATTCCTAAGTGCCTCCCACACTGCACTGTTGCATTTAAAACCACTTCCAAAAGCAATTTGCCAGACTCGATTACCTCTCCTCATTCTTCCCTTTGCCTCGGTGTATGCAAGCTCGTACCAAATTGAGCTTGAAGAAGTGTTCCCGAACCGGTGGAGAGTCATCCTTGACGCTTCCACGTGAAGTGGAAGCAGCTGAAGATTCTTCTCCAGTTCATCAATCACAGCCCTTCCACCAGCATGTATGCAGAAATGATCAAATGCCAGCTTAAAATCCGGAATGTATGGTTTTACGCTCTTCTTGAAAAAAATTTTAATTACCAATGTAGCGAAGAACAAAAGCTGCTCACTGATTGGTAACACGAGAGGACCCAAAGTAGTTATATTAGTCTTAAGAGCTCCACCTGCAATAGCCATGAGATCTTTTGATAAAGAAACCCCTGTTTTCCCAGCTGAATCCTGCTCCTGATACACACAACGAAATGCCTTATCGTCTGCGCCTTTATGCGTTCGCACAACATGAACAAGCTTGTACTTGGCCTTCCTCCTATTGGCAGACTTATTAGACAACAAAACCGCAGAACACCCAACTCTAAACAAACAATTTGGTATCAACATCGACTTCTTGTTCCCGAAATACCAATTCTGTGTAATATTCTCTGTACTAACTACAACTGCATAAGTATTCCTATGCACCTGCAACAAGTCCTTGGCTAAATCAATGGCGATCACACCTGCACTACAACCCATCCCGCCCAAATTGAAACTCCTAATATTCCCCCTCAACTTGTACTTATTCACGATCATAGACGAGAGCGAAGGGGTTGGATTAAACAAACTACAATTCACTACAAGAATCCCTATATCCTTAGGCTTCACTTTAGTATTCGCAAAAAGATTATCCAATGCCCCAAACATCACTTGTTCGGCTTCTTCCCTAGCCGCCTGCATAGACGGCTTGGGAGGAACCGAATGCATAGCCTCCGGTACATAAGTTTCATCCCCAAGCCCTGACCTCTCGAGTATTTTCCTCTGGAACTCAAGAGAGGACTCATCAAAATCCCCAGTCAACCGGGAATGTTCCATGAATCGACTAAACGGGGCCTTCAAATTCTCTGGTGCCCGATAACACGAATAATCAACAAGATAAACGGGTCGAGGCCGGGTCATTATGTAAACTGTTGATCCAAATACAAGAAATGCAGAACATATAATAACTGATACAAGATTATATTTCAAATGGAGCCACAACTGACGAATGTCATTGGGATTCATTCGGGATGCCTCAATGAAAACGATAATCATTATGGGCACTAAGCAAAGAGTAAACAAATTAGAAATCAGGTAATGGTACCCAAGTTTGACATACTTTAACTTGACGCTAAGGAGGAAGTCCGGGAGCCTACGGCTATGGTTGATCTGGACACCCACGGTGGCATCGCCATTTTCTTGGGCATCTCCGGCACCTCCTGCTCCGTACATGGCTGCACGTCGATTTCTACTATGTCTAAAGTTAAACTGCCACTGCTTCTTGAAATCAAGAAAGATTTTTGTGAGGTGAAAGGGAAATTGACTTTTTTGTGGGAATTTAATATTCAAGTGAGGTGGCGTGAGTTTTACAAATCAATTTGGATAGATTAACAATGCATTTTATTCTTGAATAATAGAAGCTTAATTTTATATGACATTATATTTTGCTATAGAGATTTTAATTTTTAATAAGCAGTATTCGTATCGATGGATGATTCGATATACTCCATGGCATGACCTTAAGAGTGACTAATACTAAAATAATTTCTTTTCACAACTATTCTTATTCTTATTAATCAAACTATCAAATGAGCTCAGATTTATTGTCATGCAATATGTTTTACATTTAATGAAAGACTTCAAGTATAATGTCTCAAAGTATTAAAAAATATGTTGAAGTCTTTGCATTTGCTAAGAAGAGGTGATTTAAGGAAATGTAGATATTCTCGCATGAAAAATAAAAAAATGTAAGCTATTGGGACCGTTCCCTGTACGAAAATCGAGTAAGTTACTCGACTCCACTTCATGTTAAAAGCAAACGAATTCTGGACTCGAAAATCCAAGTTTCTAACAGAGTACAAGATTGCCAGATCATACTGATTACTCCAGGCCATTACAAATCACCAGCAAAATGCAGGATGCATTACAGTCTTCTCATTTCCAATATTTTACAATGAGCACTAACATGTTTCAGAACTTGATACATACTTTGATATTTCTAGAAAAGAAACAACAAACTATTTTCCTCAAAATGTCATATATCACGAAGTTTGAATGAAGAATATGTTGCTCTATAAAGCCAGGATATTGATTTCGTGAGGCATGAAATCTTCGCCTGGTCTGTAGCATTTGTCGGGTGAATATAGGCTCAAATTCGTAACTTGGCTGGTATAGAGGCAAGCGAATCTCTCGACCTGCAAAATACAAAAGGAAATTCATTTAATGTAAGAATCCAAGAATATAATTCTCATTACTAGTGCTCTTTGATCCGACCTGATGCGCAAAACGTGAATTTTGATGGCCGGTCTTCATCAATTGTCCCCACACCTTGTGGAACTAGAAAGTATTTGGTAAGATACATATTAGCACTTGAAGAAGTATGATAGATATCGCTAAACCTATTTCATGTTTATATTCAACAATATTAATGAAAAAAAAATTGTACAATCCACTACGGTTATTATATTGCATACCAAACATGCACTAAGATCATTGACTCAATTAAATGTTTTAAGTGAATAATTTTATTTAAGAGCATTAGTCTCATGCTTTAATGGTAGAGGAAGAGTTTTTGCACGCTGTCTCTTACCATTCGATGACATTCTCGTTGAGCTCGTTGATGTTTGAGCCGCACTTGCTCGCTTTGACGCTGTGAGTTTCGAGGTGTTAGTAAAACAAATATGAAAACAATTCAACATTCGATTCAGGAATATTGTAATTTCGGATCCCGGGACTGCTAAGTAAGCTAAACATATCATACGTCCATTCAAACTATCGTTCAGTTAAAACTAAATAAAAGACTAAGCATCGTATGAACACACTATCATTCACCCGTTAAACATAGGGTAAAGGACGAAAATTTTAGGAGATCAAAACTTAATTTGTATTCAAAAGAGCAATAAACAGAACAAAATCAGAGACGCGCCAATCTACATTTGTTAAAACTCAATATGAAAGCTATGTCAACTTGCTGCCCCAGATTCATCACTACAGTGAAGAAGAAAATTACACACCTCTGTTTTGTCGACACAAAACAGCTTCATTCCAAATCCTTTACATTTGAAAATGATAGGAATATTAGGTTAACCTAAAAAACATGTAGATATTAAATCGATCCGCAGCCGCCGGGGGCGGGGGGGGTGGGGGGGAAGAAGAAGCCGGCCATTTTAAGTAACATTAAACAATTGGTCCCTCATTAAACGTGAAATACAAAAATAGCAAGATGCATCTTCAGAGTGATATCCTTAAAATGACTCAAAATTCTTCCAGTAACTTTGTTATTATTACACATTTAAAGTTTGAACGATGGACAAACATTATCTCAGAGTCAAAGGGACATCTAAAGATGCATTTGTCAAATAAATACATTATTTTAAAAGTTACGTTTGCTAAATATACCAACCTTCAGTTTATCAAGCTCGGCAAGTATCTTTTCCCCGTTGTCATCATTCACGCCATCAAATCTGAGTACACAATGTGCGATAAGCAAAATTTTCTCAGGAATGTATTCAAATGCTGCAGAGGATTGCTTTATGACCTCAAAACACTTCAATCAATTCAGAAAATTGACTATAAAAGGAAGATAGTATTTTAACAACTTATTTTATTTCTTCTGATGTGGAATCCAAAATCCTTCAACAGTTTTTATACCCAAAATGATGGCGAACAAAACAAAAGAAATATTTACAGCCCATTCCCACAAATTTATGCAGTAAAGTTTCAAAAGAAAGGGACAAGAGTTACCTGATAGACCATTTGAGATGATGTATCTCATCTTCAATGTGATCGCTTTCATTCCTCAGTAACTGGAGTTGCTGCATTAAAAATATGGTTTTAGAATCGACAGCAGAACTCCCAGAACAGAATTTAAGCATCATAAATCAGAGTAAAATCTAATGGAGGATGAATGTAGCTGAAACTGAAGAAATAATCAAGTCACTTTCTGAACTCGTCATACCAAATAAAGCAGGTCCAATCACTTTACAGGAAACAAGGAATCGATTACTCAAAATATTTGTCTGCAGGCCAAATAATATCCCTCTGAATAAGAACATTGTTTAACACTTTGATAAACTAACTATTCTATAGTAAGCTTAACTTTTTTGCTAAAAATTTTTTCCCTTAAATATAGCCGAAAAGGAAAATTGTGTCTATCCATATACGGATATACCTTGCGGGTATCTCTCAACTGCCAGAGAAGTTCAACCTCCCTCTCAAGCTCCGGGACAACAAGCATTGTTCTCCAACCTATTAACACAATGTTACAAGATTGAATCAGATGAAGCAAACAAAAACATCTCAGAACGAAATCACAAGATGCTTAGGTGAAAAAGATTTAGCCTCCATTTGGTAAATTTATGAATTATTTATAAATAGGTGAAACTTCATTTTCAATCACACATTTCAATGGACCAACAAGTATGTCTGTCTATTTATAAATTAAAACTGATCATAAATTCTTCCCAAATGAGGGCATAATTTGGCGACAGGATAGAATACTCATATTATCCAATCCCAAACCAGATAAAAAGAATACCAGACCAATTATATCCTAAATCCCGATCTAACTTAATTGACACCTTGCACAACAGCCCAAAGATGTAAACTTGGGATTTACAAGGGATTAGGGAGAAAAGAATGAATTAAACCATGTTATTAATTACACTAGACGCCAGCCTGAGCAATTTCTAAATGCCATTATTTTCTTGAAAACAATATTTATCAGTTCCCAGCTAGATATAAATAGAAGGTGGCGAAAAGCATATGGATAAAAATAATGATCGTTAACTGAGATCGGTTTCCCTAAAACCATGCATTGGATAGAAATAAAACACAGTAATGTCATTAAAAGTAATTTTCAGATTAACAATAAGTTTCACCAAAATAGGCTTACTGCAATTTCCATCATTTGAGAATGTCAATGCAGTTATTTCCAATGGATGTATTCTATAATAGAGATGAAAGACATACCTAAGGCTTTTTTACTGTGTAAAATATCCCCATAGATGTGATCCCCGATATAAAGTACCTAAGAAATTAAATGTTAATGTTAATGTTTTGTAAGAAATCAACCTAACCTTACTCAATAAAGATTGTGCACCACAAAGATATTTCTAAAAGATAAAAATCACGACAAGCACTCCAAATATTGAAGTCGTTATATTGTAGATTAACATGTTATGCCTCGTGTGTCCTTGTTTCTTTGCATAAAAATAAACCACTTGTATACAACTGGCAAATCACAAGAACAGGCAACATCTAATTTCATAGTGCCTAAAAGAGTTAAAAAGGATGGGAAAGAAAACATCACAACTAAAGGATGACTAGAATACCTGAGAGCTTGACTCTATGGACAATAGTTTATGCAGATGGCCAACATTTCCACCCTGAAAATAGAGTTTAATAAAACTAATATCATAATGAAAAGGGCTACCATCCGCAAAATTAACAATGTTAGAACATTACAAGTTTACAAAATTGTAGGATGCAGCTATACCTGAAAAACTCTGCAACTCTTATCTATATTCGATGGCAGCCTTAATGTAGTATCTACCTAGTTAATCAATAATAAGAAGAATGGGTCACTAGACTTGCAGGAGCACGAAAAAGGTATCCAATTTTGTAAAAGATCGTGAAGATTCAACTAACTGAGGGCATAGGAGTGCCATTATCAGTGTTAAGAAGCATCCCAGACTCAGGATCAACCTCAAAAAGATTAGCACGATTTTCATCATGGAAAAAACCTGGTTTTGCACTGCACAAAGGGGTTTGTATGATGGAAAAGTTAGAAGAATCGAGGCTGAAAAGTAGCCATGAGAATATTTAGCATGATTATCCATCACAAATGAAATCTACATCAATGTCAAGCTACTAAGAGATGCAACATCATCAAATTGATTTATGTCAAGCTGCTAAGAGATGCAATATCATCAAATTGATTTAAAGCATTCACTTAAATTACTGACTAGACTTCAGTTACCAAATGGTTATCCACTAACTACCAATTGAAAATATTTTAATTGGAAAATAAAATCAACATGTTTCTAGATTGTCTGACAATTATTTTATGGAAAAGAAAGGAAAGAATATAAAGTTCACACTGTTTGCAAAGAGAGAGCCACGTGTCAAGAAGCTAATGACCTGCCAGTGATAACAACGTCGAAGTATTGAAGCCAATCAAAATTGGTAGCAGACCAGCTATTCACGGTTTTCTCTCCACAGAGGAAGTTCATTACAATGTTTGTATAGTCCCATAAGCTGCACCAAATTCAAGAGTAATTCAGACATTTGTTTAAACATGGATAGTGCATAACAGCTTCGGTCTGTCACAAACATATTACAATTTAAATAGAGAAGCTTTTTGAAAATCAGTACCTCTTCAATGCAAAGAAGGCGAATTATACTGGAAAGCCGGGGCAGAAGTTGAAGGAATAAGAGTTAAAATATGTTTATTGAACGCCAACTCCTCACATAATATTTTAAGGAAACTAATGTTGTCACTAAGAACATAAAATTTTTGAAGGAAAATGCAGTAATAAATATGAAAGCCTAAAAGAAAATATTTGCCAATATCATTTATTTTTCATTTTAATATATACAAGGAAAAGTACTTGAGATATTTCAATCTTCTAAGAGCCAAGAAAATAGCAATATGGCAACAGATATTGACTCCAAAACACTATGCATGTATATCAAAACTTAAAGCTCTTAAGTTTCTTCTGGACATATCAGGTTGCATCAATTGATGCAATCTTCAGCCGCCACCAAGAAAGAAACTAGAGAAGATTATTCCATTTTTCTGATTTTCCCGTAGAAAAAGGGTATAACTCACTCTTGGTAGCAAATGTTGCAAATAATCCATCTTCTTTCAATTCAACTTTATACTTGATCATCAGTCAAAATCATGGATAGATCATACGCATTATCTCAACCAACTTTGCATAAAAAAGGCTACCTGTTTGTCACCAGAAATGTAGCACGGCCAGATTCTTTAATCATTTCTATCATGGGAACAATTGAGGTATCCTCCCTGATATATCTGATACAATAATGGAAAAGTTATGATACATCAGTTTGAAATTTTTGGCATTGGTGTTAAAATAATTGGAAACTAGTTACTGCATTTTGAAGGAATTACAGATACCTTCTAGGATCTTTTGCAACCATCTGCTTTAAAGTACCATCACGGTGGCACAAATCCACTGCTGCTCGAACATCTTTGTACATTCCAGAGTAGCTGCCATGCCATTAGAGAAAAAACATAAACCAATTAAAAGTGGGATAATTAGGAAAGAAAATTCAAGGATTAAGTTAAACGTATGTTTGTATTCAGCATATCAAAATTTCTTTTAAATTGATAATAGCTTCTTTCCAACAAACTCCGGAATCCAGATTGTTCAAATAATTTATTTGCCAGAATGGTACTAAAAACACCAGAAAATGGTGCAACATTAAGAATTATCAACACAAAGTGCAGAAAAATGAAAGATAAACAATCCATGTTTTGTGTTATGCTTTTATCTGTAATGTGGAGGGATTGTCAAAGGTTTCAAGCCTATTTTTCTTGAGCAAGTTCACAAAAATATACTCTTAAGGTATTTTTTAGCTGTTGGACCAATTATTACGTCACCCTGTAATAGAGAGAAGAAAATTAACTACTGTAAACCAACATATTAGAGAATTGATAATTCTCTTACTCTGCCAAAATTTTGCCTGGATTCTTATCCTTGAAGTCAACAAGCTGAGCAAATAAATAAGCTTCAGCCAGAGAGAAAAGGGTATCGATGAGAGCATAGTCAGGTTCATCAAACGAGTCGCGTGTCAAAGTACTTCGATATGTAGCAACTTTATCTTCCTTCGACATCTCTCTAAATCCATGATAAGCTACTTTGACGTACTTGTGTCGGTCCATCTATGAATCATACAACCAACACGGATAAATTTACATGTTAAATCCAATCAAATAAAAGGAAGATTTAGTTTCGATATACAACAACACAAACCTTCAATATATTGCCTCTCTTTTTATCGAGAACTAATCCTCTGACCATGTATTTCCAATCAAATGTCCAATCCAACAACTACACAAACCCAGTCAAGTTAATAAGCTATTAATTTCAAATAATAATTAAAAAGAAAAGAACAATTAGCACAGAGCAAATATAAGCAGTCTGTATGAATCTCCAAACTTGTGAAACATTAGGTGAATTCTTTTATATTTTCGGTTCATTTCCTTTCTTCTTCTTTTTTGCTTTCCTTTTTCTGTTGAGTGGGATTCATATTTCATAGTGTAGAAAAATACAACAAGGACAAATTGATTCAATTACTGACTTCATCTGAGAATCATCATTGGCTTTAACTTAGTGAAATACTAATGGCTTTCATTCCTTGAAAAGCTTCTTCTTGCTAAGATAAAAGTACCAACCAAAATGTAGACAAACCTCTGAAGGGTACTGCAAATCATAAACCAGCTTTCTAACTGTGCCTTCGTATGCAAGTGATTCGAAAGTCTCAGGTTTATACTGAGCCAAAGTGTAATCCATATCAAATCCAACAGCAACGATGTTCTTCATGTTCAAAGACCTATTACAGAATATCTGTTTTCCAATATCAATCTTTTGTCCTCCTTCAGGAGACGACCATATGCAGGGACCCTGACCAATATCACCGCAATTGGTTCCCTTAAGTTGCAATGTTTTTCCATCTACGCCCATGGCATCCATCATAATACTAGAACGATGTTGTTTATTACCTGATGACGACAAACAAAAAATGGATGCTATGTAAGAATAGTTTTGAAGTTATGTCACACCAGTTTGTGAACTCAAATCGCCTTATCTCCACAAAATGAAAAACAAATCTGCCCAAAACTAGCAAATGGAGTGGTTATCCAGAACTATATGAACGAAGTGACTAGCACACTTGCTAGCAAGACTATGTCAAGAGCATGTATGGCTAATCTTAAAATGTGCTTTTCCTAAGGATGTCAACTGCTGTTTACTTGGCATATATGTTGCACTGTTTTTCTGCATTTTTTACTGCAGATGTTGAAGTAAAGTTTATATTCAAGTTAATCACCAGCCTTATGGTATGTTCGGTAAGGCAGGCTGAAGAACATTGGACGGTATTAAAGAAGAAAAAGAAAGTAAAATCCCGCTTAAGGTATCTTCCAAGTCATGTCCAATGTTGCATACCTAATGTGCTCTTAATGTATATCAACAAGTATGGAAACGGCACAGAATTTTGCATACAGTGAAAGCCTCTATAAAATATCAAATAAAAATCTGGCCTTCATCAATAACTAGGATAATTTTATGGCATATAAATCTTTAAAATGCCTATATTTATCGAGTGGAGAATAAATTGGTATTAAAATTTCCAGTTTAACCAAAGACAAAAGCATTTTATACAAAAGCTTTGCACATATGCAATGATTTATCAAAATGGTCATACATTCAAATTTTGAACAGTGAATAATAAAACATATTTATCCTAAATGCAACAAGCCTGCGAATTGTGTACAAGACATATTCGCATGCCAAATTAATAGTTTAAGCTTTTAATATAGGATAAACTAAATTTTCTGCAAACTTGAAAGATTAAAGATCATGCTGAGGGGATGCTGGTGGACGACACGCGTAAAATCAATAAAACAAAGAGCCTGTGCTAAGTAAGAAACTCTGATGTTATATGTGTCCTATATGGAGTTTATAAGAGCCCTATATCGACTCAATCTTTACTTCTTACGTAGATTTGAGCAATAAACTATACTCTAAATCATAAGTATTTTCCAGATTATTTTACTCCTCATATTCCCCCGACATTAAGTGAACTTGAATTCGAGACATCAAATCTTGGCAATTTCACATTCAATATTTCTATTAATAAATTACATACAAAAATGAGTGGTGAAACAAGCCGGAAATTATCTAGTTATCACTATTAAGAAACCAATTGTTGGTTATTAAGAAAAAAGCACCAAAAAGGGAGTAAAGGACTCCTTCCATCACCATAGCAGTTTACATTCTGTAATCACTGTATGTGAACCCACTGGCACCATGTTATGTTCCAACTTCTAATCCTATACTCCAGGGATGATACAAACTTCTTGACTCATATCGAATTCATACCCTGATACACAACATCTTCTTGCTCCCATTACTAAAACAACGTCATCCTCATATTCACAAACACTATTTTCCTCTCTTTTTCCTACAGCATAAAAACTGATGAGTCATTCAAAATTAATGTAATAACTATGATAGTAAAACCTGGACATCACTGCATTCCACCGTCAGTGACATTCAAAAATAAGGCACGACACTTAAACCATAAGTCAGGAAAATTAAGACTTGCTGAAGTGGATTGGACAGTACTCAATAGACACTATAATTGCACTCTTCAGTCACGTCCAATATTGTGTACTAACATGCCATTGCACAGAATTAAATTCAATAAATATGATAGTAAAAGCACTAAATCAATGCTTCCCACCATACCTGACAACACAAAATAGAAAATTAAGGAGTTGTTCTCTTCATGTTTCAATTTTGTAGTTTTGAATTTTGAATTCATTTTGAGTTTTGTGTTTTCAATGCCTGTTTTTTGAAATTGCTGAAAATATGTTCTTTTTGCCATTTTGGGACCATTTCCCGTGTTTTCAATTTTTTTCTAGTTTTGTTTTGAAAACGCCCAAAACGACATAAATGTCGTTTTGTGTTTTCTTCACAAATTTTCTTTCGTTTTCGAAAATTCGTTTTCGAAAACGGGAAAGAGAACGCGTTTTCACCGTTTTAAAATCGAAAATAGAAAACAGCTCGAAAATGACAAAGAGAACACACCCTAAGTTACTGCGATCACAAAACATCAAAAATAGGCATGGCAATTCCAAATCAACCTAATAAAGCAAGTTAAAAAAGGAAAAAAAAAATTGAAAACAAAAATGTGATTTATATTAGGTATTAACCATGCATGTTGCAGATAAATCGAGAAAGATAACATGCAAAGTGAAATTTCACTAAATAGTTAAAAAAAAAAAAATCTTCTCTCTCCATTCAGATTCAGAAAAATCAAGAAAAACGGTAAAAAGAATAACAACATACACGTTCGTGATTGATCTAGCTAAACCACGAACCTTTGCAATGATTCACTTTCCTCCTACTCGGAAATTGACCCGAAAGAGCAGACGAAAAAATACTGGAATTGAATAAAATTCTCGAAGAGGACGAAAAAGGAAATGTTAAGGGCTCAAGAATGGGATTGGGATTTGGAGAAGAAAATAGCGAAACGCCAAAGGAAAATGAGCGCCCTTTGGGGATACGCATCCTGAATTTATATAGCCAGTTTGAGATGTGAAAAATGCTAAGAAAATTCCTTCAAATTCCAAATGAATGTAGAACCCGATACCCGTATAGATACTGAATGCATTTAATAGCTTAACGTTTTGCATTCTTAGCGGAAAAAATTAAACTTTGACTCCCCATTTGGCAACTAGGAAACGAATACCTCCTCCAACAACGACTGGAAAAAAAGAAAAAGAAAAAAAGGAGGGATTGCCACGTGGAGGCGGCTATAACTTGCAACACGGCAGAGGCAGAGGCAGTGAATTTTGCTTGATATTCTGAAGGGTAACGGTAAAACTGGCAGCGGAATGGGGAAGAAGAGTGAAGACCACGCATGGCGTATTTTAGCAAATGGCGCAATAGATGGGAAATTTGTTCTTATTTTTTTGAATTTTCTATGTTTTTGCGGCAGTTGCTACGCAATCCCACGTTTAAATTATGTACTTGTGGATTAATTTCGTGCAAATTTTTAATTACAATTGTTAATCGAACTTATTTCTAATTTATATTTTAGAGGGAATGAGTTCAATAGTCCATTCAAAAAAAAATTCATTATGCTTTCAAATCTTTTAGAAAAGTAACTTTTAAACACGATTAAATATATTCTAAGTTGATGAATAAAGATTGTCTTGAGTGGATGCTAAGAATATTTTTTGGGATAATCAAAGTCGTTGTTCTAAACCCTAATGCTACAACTTTTATTATAACGGCTTTCATATGTATTCCTTTTGCAACAGTAAGAATTATCAATTTTTACCTTGCCTATTATTTAGTTAGACGAGCTGAGGGTACAGAACCCCCTATAACAGACCTCTTATAGAAGTCTCACACCATGAGAGATTAGAAATTTTTGTCATTTTTTTAATATTGGGCCCTGCAATGGGGCAGACCTTTTGTGAGAGGTCTGATTTTCTTATGTAAAATTAATTCTGTACGATCAGAATTGTTCTTGTTCAGTTTAGGTTTATGAATCGCTGCAATTTGAATAAGAGATTTATGATATTAAACGCATCAATAAGAGAGATCAAGGGTCTAGAATGATCAATATTGCCGAATGCCAAATTAGTTCTTTTTTTATTTTGTTAATTGAATTGAACCACCTATCTTTTTGGGGAAAAAAAGAAGAAGAAGATCAAATTTTTTGGTGCAGCTGCAGTAATGCTAGTGCTTCCAAGCCTGGTCAAGTTTTGAAGTCCATAATCCGAAGCTAGTTTAGGTGCTAAGTGGTCTCTACTTTGGTTCTGAATATCCAAAAGCCGCTGCTGCTGGTTTTGGGGACTCGTTGCTGCCAGTTGAAGGGAGTGGAAGGATGAAAGTGGAGAACGCACAAAATTCCATGGAAAAAAAATCATTCTTAACCTTCCATTATGCTCTTCCAACATACTTCGAATTAGGCCTTCAGCTTAGCCTTCAAGAAGTGTGATCTTCTATGATGCCTATTCTCAACATGTTTCCATTTTCTAATATTGGTGGGGTGATTGCATATTACTTGATTACCGAGAGAATCTTGTCCGTGACAAGAACAAGAAAAGATTTTGAATACTATGGCTATTCCCATTTTCAGGACCCTTGGAGGGACCTGTGTTTTGTTCTTCTGTCGCTCTTGGTTTTTTGGCACTCGGGAGAGCTGAATTCGCAGTAAATCACAGTATGCTGTTCCAAGATATGCAAGAATAGTTATGGGTGTTTCTAATACGGCTGGTACCTTAGCCAGCATTGTTGGGTTTGATCTTACTTGTCGACTTCTTGAAGCTGCTAAGTCTTCTCAGTCTCACTGGTCCAAATAGCTGGAGAGCGGTTTTTCTCATCTCGGGATTACTCTATATCTTTAGTTCATTTGTGTTTCTTCTATTCTGCACGGGGGAGAGAATTTTTGACTGAGTCGGGTTACGTGTATCTGATAACATCGATTGTTGTTGAGAAGGAGATGGCACATTAAGGCCGCCTGAGGGTTGAGCCATTATTCGTGACAACGCCGTAATACCAAGGAGCCTGCATTGGGAGAAATGAATGAGATATGCACAGGATAAGGATGGTATTCTTTGTGCCCATATAAACTGGTTGGTGGCTCTGCAGGTGCAGCTTTGCCTTGATATTGCAGCCGTTTGAGCCACATTATTGTAAAAATGAAAATGAGAAATATAATCGTTATGGACTCCACACAAGAGATAAAAAATCAAATGTGATGGCTTAATGTGATGGATAACGGTCATATTTTTCATTTTAATGAAAAAATAATGGGGCACAAACAGGGAAATTGTTTTTTGTCTTGGTGTTATTTTGCTTTGCATTCCCCCTCGGTATCTTGCCTAATTTTGAGGTGGCTCATTCCAAGTACTAGAGAATAATACTATCACAAGTGATGATATCATCGATAGTGGTGACAATAGTGGTCTCGACCATGTGAATCGTTTGTGACCCACATGGTCAATATAGAGTTAAACTAATTTAGCCCCCATTTGACCCCCATTTTTCGAAGTAAAAATGGGTGGAATAGTGTTTTTTTGAAAAATGAATGGTTGAAAAAGAAGTAAAAATTTTCGATTTATGTGTAATATTATTTTATGAAAGATTGTGTTGTTGAAAATAGGAGAGAGAAAAATAAATGTAATTTAATGTAATGGGGGTCAAACAGGGGCTAAAGTAATAGGTTAATTAAATGCCTAGATAACTCCTCATTTGAATATTGAAGGGACATCATTGCAGGAGAAAACCATCCACTTCCATGATTGACGAAAGTATAGTTGTTGTCTATATATAAATATCAAAGAGTCCCCAGCCAAACTTATACAAGATTTCTCCAAAATTTTCTCTCTTAAAATTAGGAATACCGTGTTTATTTCCATTAAGTTAAATGAGTTATTAAGTAGGTATTGGCTAGAAGATTTTTGGTGCTTTGAAGACTCATTTCTACTATAAATTTTTTCCGTACCTTAATGTGGGTTAAGGTACGCAATTTATGCCTCACAGACCATATATTAACGTCATTTGATGATCATCAATGATAAATAATATTAATTTGCATCAAGTCTCAAGTGGACCCTGATTGTATACAGATCATTGGGGATAAGAATATAGATATTTGTTTATAAAGTTCTTCTTTTCCAAGTAATTAACTAGTAATATTAATTACGAAGCATGTGATTATGTTTGATTTTGCTAAGTTCTTCGTCAATTTCATTAAATTGCAAGTCTCACCTAACTCGTTAAATGAAATATTTTTGGATAAGACCAGTTGGTTCTTAATCCAAAAATCAATGCTCCACCCCACCGCACCCCTCGTACATTAAAGAGGGATGCTATATGTACACTGTTGACAGCCCTCTCACATTTAAGGGTGGAGTCCACAATTAAAATAATCGCGGACCTCATATCTACTACCTCTTAAAAGAGGGGCTTTGATTCTATTATTCATTTGTGTCACATAGCTTTTCACACTGTATTCAATTTATCCAGTTTTGCTACAGTAACATATTCCTGTGACACGCTTTCTTCTCTGGACCACACATATGCTTGCGTTTTAGCCTCATTTAAGTTCATTTTTCTACATTTTCCAACCTTTTTGAACGCTTGTCTTTGCCGGTCAATATTCAATTGGAAGGTTGCCTGCATGCAATTGGCCCATGGGACCCAACGGCCTACAACTATTGACTGCAGAAAATGGAGTAGGGAGGCTTTGAACATTGTCTTTGCCACTATAAGAGGGAACGCTTATGTTGGATGGAGATAATGAACTTCTGGGAAATTTTGAAGTTTCAGGAACTCGTAAAAGAGATAATGGGGTCATAGCATTAATTCATCACCACTCAATTATTTTATACAATCATTTCATAAACGACTTCTCAATCTTAAATTGTAAAATTTGAAGCAATTGATTGAATCTTGATAATAATCTAAAAATATATTTACTCCTTAGAAAGAACATCATTCAAGGTAATTTAGCCCATTCCCTGTGGAGACCAAAACGCGTAGACAAATTAGCATATTGTTGAAAAATTTTAACACTAACCAGCATAACTTTAACTACTTTAACTAATTTTTATTAATTCCTCTTTAATATAACATCTAATTAATTGAAGTCCTCCATTGACTTGAAGCAAAATAATCAGAACTAAAATTTGAAATATCAATCATGAAAAACTGTGGGAGTAGAATTTGTTATTAGTGACGATTATCGTTATAATTTTTATTGTTTCACTTAAATTTAAAAAATAAAAAAGAAATAATCAACTAAAATAATTAATTCTTCAATTTCAAAATAAAAAAAAATGCTTAGTGAGATGACTGTTAAAAATTTTTCCAGCTGAATAAATTCGTAAACCCAAATAATAAAGACAAGGAAAAGAAAAAGAATTAAAGGGACTTATAAACCAAATATATAAAACAAACTTCACTATTAGGAACAAAGATTAATGAATTTTACATCCAAAAAATCGTGCTCAGAATTAAGAATCAAACACCACCGAAAATACCATATGCGCGGAGTGTGGCTCAGTTCTTGTAGAAGAACCCATACAATTGCCTGTGATGTGATGCTCAAACAAAGCTAAAACTCTATGACAGATAAGGATCCGGGAGCTTTCTCGTTTCTTCAACGATTAAGATAGCTTTCCTCCTCCAACGGCTACTACTAAAATGTGCACCACCCATTTCAATCTCCCCTACCACTTAAAGAAAAAAGATGTCAACGTGCCTCAGGAAAAAAAAAGGGGGAAAGTAGGGCGATAATAATTTTATTAGAAATTTTTACATCCAAAAACAAAAATAAAAAAATTGACGTCATACTTAAAAAAAAAAAAATTGATAAGTTGCTCCGCACAGCCGGGAGCACTTAATCCTGGCTACTAGGAGACACAAAAAAATAAAAAAAAATAAAAATAATATATATATATATATATATTATTTTATTTTAATTGGATGATTAATATTTTTTGTGTCAACTTTTTAATACACGCGTTTGATATACGTTTAACTATTTTCGATATTTATTTATATCATTCGATGTGTCTATGATATAGATCTCGAAATGAACTTCGAGAGAATATAGAAAATCTATGCATTTGACTACCGTACAATTGTCGATGAATTTTTAAAGTTAACTTATTATCGAAATTCTTAATTTTTTAAATGATGTTTCTTTTGAGATTAAAAAATAAATAAAATTTATTAGGAAATTTTCTAAATGACGTCAAAATTTTTATTAGATTATTTAAAAAATTAATTGATCGAGAGGAAAAAGTAACAGTAAGAAAAAAAATTCTACAAATAAACTCTGTGTCACGTTATAAGGTAAAATATTCATTTAGATCATTCGATGTGTCTATGATATAGTTCTCGAAATGAGTTTC